TCTCCCTCCTCCTTTTTCTCCCCCTCCTCCTCTTCTTCCTTCCCCTCCTCCTTCACTAAATTCTTTGAAGACAGTAGCATTAGTTTGCTGCTCTGAAAAGCACAATGATGAGCTAAAGAAAACAACCTCACTCAGGATGATCTTTTCTAATCCTATCCATTTGCCTGCAAATTTCATGATTTTTCTTGGTTTTAATAGATGAGTAGTATTCCATTGTGTAAATGAACCATGAGTGATGTAACCCAGGACCACAAAGACATGCATGGCATACACTCACTCATAAGTGGATATTAGCCATATAATACAGGATAAAATCCACAGACCTAAAGAAGATAAATAACAAAATGGACCCTGAGAAGGATGCTTAATTCTCATTCAGAAGAGCAAATAGAATAGACACTGGAAGTGGTTGAAGATAGGGAACAAGGCAGACAGGACAGGAGCCTACCAAGATGCCCTGTGGAAGACTCCACCCAGCAGGGGATCAAAGCAGATGCTAAGGCTTACAGCCAAACTCTGGGCAGAGCACAGGGAGTCTTATGGAAGAACAGGGGTGGGGGAGGGAGAATGACCCAGAGTGGACAGGAGCTCTACAAAGAGATCCAGAGAGCCCAGGGTTGACCGCAGAGACTGAGGCATCAACCAAAGACCATTCATAGAGAGGACCTAGACCCCCTGCACAGATGTAGCCCATGGACTGCTCAGTCTCCATGTGGGTACCCTAGTAAGGGGAGCAGGGGCTGTCTCTCACATGAACTTGGTTGCCAGCTCTTTGATCACTTCCCCCTGGCAGGGCAACACTGCCAGCCCATAGAGGAAGAGGATCAGGCAGCCCTGATGAGATTTGATAGGCTAGGGTCAGACAGTGGGGAGAAGGGCTCCCTGTTTCAGTGGACTGGGGGGAGGATAGGAAAGGAAGAAGAAGGGAGGAAGGGTGGGACCAGGAGGAGATGAGGGAGGGTGCTACTGTCGGGATATTAAGTGAATTAATTATAAAAATAAAGTAAATATATGGTTGGGAATGTTGAAAGAAAGAAAGAAAGCCACACACTCAGTCGCAAGAGATGCCTCTAACATTGGAAGAAATGAGTGGGTGTCTGGCCATGACCCCCATGGGCTTACTTCACAGCCCTCACAAGTCTTATGCTAAAAATAGTATCAAAAAAAGTCCAAAATCAAAACTGTGGACCCCTGAGAGTTAGGAGTCGGATAATCAGATGTACTTTATAACCAGGATCCCCACATATTTTTTGAACTTCCTGAGCCTGAAGCAATTGTATTTCAAAAGCCAGACTGGAGGTAAAAACTACTTCTGACCGAAGGAAGTAGCTATTTGTCCTTTGGCATAGCATAGCAACAAACAGCAGAAGTGAAATAAATCAGTTTAATCAATTAATGAAAGTTAGCTATAATAAACATGCTTCCAAAATCCATGCAGCTCATGTATAATAACAGAGAATATCAGTTTAAAAGCCCTAAATGTCTGGGAATTAAGAAACAGGCTTCTGAGTCACAAAGACATCTAGAAAACATTTTAGTTGACTCATTCTAAAAATCACAACCTACTAAAGCTTGTAAGGTGAAGTTAAAATAATGCTTAGCAGAACTTATAGCTCTAAACATAAGTATTAGAAAACTGAAAACCAATTATCTAAATTATAACTCAGGAAACTAGAAGAACACATTCAAATATAGTTGGAAGGAATGATATGGTAAAAGAAACACAGAAAGTCTCAAATAATAAAATCACATAAAAAGTATTATACAACTAAAAAGTATTTTACATATAATACTATATATGTACGTTTTATATATAATATATGCATATGTGTGTGTTAAACTTCTAAAAAACTCATCAAGAAAGAAAAAATATTAGTTATCAAAAAGGAAACAGGGACATTATTACTACTAATTCAGTAGAAAAATTGGGATATTAAAACTTCCTGACAATGAATTTGATGGTTTAAATAAAATGGAAACAAAACCTATAAAACTCACAACTTGAAAAAAACCAACAATGAAGAAGTAGAAAATTTACAAAGTCCTATATCTGCTAAAGAAAGTTTAAAATAAAAACAAGGTACCAAAAATACCTGTGGGCACAGATGGCTTCATTAGTAAAATTTTTCCATCACTTAAATGAGAAATAATAAAAATGTTTTGTCATTTCTTTCAGATATTAGAGAAAAAAGAAATGCACTCCAACTTAATTAATAATGTCAGTATACTCTGCTCCAGATCACAAAACCTGATGAGAATGTTTCAAAAATAAAAAATAAACATTACAGACAAATAGCTCTCATACCAAAACAACAGCAGCACTCAACAAAATGTCAAATTAATACCAAAAACAGAATTGGCGGACAATATTTCTGACAGAGACAGAGGAAAGGACATTCCTTGAAAACAAGGAGAAAACTGGCCACAGACTTCTCTTTAGAACTGGGGGGAAAGTCCTGTGCAGGTTTACACCAGGCAGGGTAAGAAGCAACATGCTTGCCTCAGCCAGACACAGGCTGGGCCAAGACCTGAAGGGACTCTGAGATACGACTTCTGCTCAGCCTTAGGCTCAGGACAAGCAGAAATAAGGACAAAGAGAGAGTCAAAAACAACTTGGCCTCACTCAAGGCAGACCACAAGAAATCTGCAAAGACTCTTACCTCCTTATTCCTTGGCTCCGGTAATCATGGAAATAGCCATCAAAATAGTAGCTGACCACAGGTTTAAAAAAAATGATGGCACCAGAGATCACAATAAAAAAATAAAATGATTAGAAAATAGTTTAGGAAACTCACTAAACAAATATAAAACCGTAGTCAACAACAAAAACAACACTGAGTAAGGAAAATGTAAGTGTCCAGAGCTGCCTCACTGTAGACGCTTCATCTACCTTGCAAAGAATTACAATGCAAAGAAATAAGAAATTGTGTCCTGATTACAGGAGATATTAGTTTAAAAACAACCTATTTCTGAAGAAATACAGATATTGCCAGACATCACCCCCCCCAAAAAAAAAATAGTGGGTTGTTGTTTTGGATATTTTGTGGGCAAAGACAAGAGCATTGCTAGGGTTTGCTGGCCCATAAGCACACACACCACACTCAGCAGCTTTTTATGTGGCTTCTGAGACTTGAACTCGGGTCCTCACACTTGCATGGCAAGAACTTTGCCACAGGAAAGCTCCATCCAGCCCAAAACGTCTTTCCTAAAACATATTTTCTAGTTGAAATATTGACTAGTTTGCTGGGTCCTTTTTTTGCCGTTTTACAATTATTAACAGATACTGGTTGGATGTATTTCTGGGGTGCAGTATGATGTTTCGACACACGTGTTCACTATGAGACAGGAAGGTGACCAGCTGGGTGGAGACGAGCTTACAATCCCAGAACTGGGCAGCAGACACAGATCCTCAGGTTCACTGACCACTCAGCCTAGCATACTTGCTGAGACACTGTCTCCAAAAGAAAAGCAAAAGGTGGAAACGGGTGGACAGCACATGAGCAATAGACCACAACACCCAGGGTTAGCCTGTGGTTCCCATATGAAAGTACATACATGCACATGTGTACACGCAAACACACACACACTAAACTCTAAACATCCCGGCCACCTCACATCGTTTTTTATGATAAGAACGTTTAATTTACCTTTAAGGATTTTGAAATAGACATAGATCATCTTGCTGCACCAGGGAGCACAGGCCTTCCTCCTGCCTGCCTGAAACTTTCTACAATCACCTCTTTGCCAAACATTGCCCTTTCCTCACCATCACTGCAGCACCCGCCGGTTCACAGGATGAGTTCAAATCTTCAGCGTCCACAGGTGAGTGAGATCAGGGGCCATCGTGCCTTTGGCTCCTGGTTTATTCGCTCACTGGATTGGCCTTTACAGTGCAAATGACATAATTCCTGTTCAGCCTCGGCGTTTCCATTGTGACACATGCCACTTTTTTCAATCCATTCATCTATTGATGAGCACTTATATTCTCCTCAAATTTAGGCTACTGTGAACGCTGCTGCAGTAAATGTAGGAGGGAAGGCAGTGCCGGAACTGGAACTGCTGAATCACATGGTGATTCTATTTCCAGTTTTTTAAAGAAATTTTCCACTATTTCCAAAATGGGCAAAGTAATAAAATTTCCACTAAAATTTTTTCATTTCTTCTCATTCTAGACAACACTTGCTATCCTTCATCTTTTCAATAATAGGCTTTCTAACAGGTATGAGGTGATTATAGTTTTAATGTGCTTAGTGATGTTGGACACACATTTTATGTATTTTGGGCCTTTTGTGTATCTTAAGAGAATTCTATTCAAGTCCTTTGGCTGCTTCTAAATAGATAGTTTTCTTATTAAGTAGTTCGAGTGTCTTAACTTGGATATGACTCCCTTATCTAATGTATGGTTAAGAAACAATTCTTCAGTGTGTAGAGTTTTTCAGTCTATTGCTTATTAGAATGAATTCTAGAATTACCTCTTGCTACGCCCTGCCTTGCCCACTATGATGGGGTAGCACCTACTATGGCCCCAACCCAGAACCCCAGTGCTTGTTCATCCTGTGTAGAGCGGAGGGGCTGGCTGGTCTCAGCAGAAGGGGTGGGATGGGCAGTCTCCAGCTGTGAGCATCTGGGAGGCAGGAGCTTCAGCTGCCAGCTTTGTTACACACTGATGAACGGGTCACTGGTGAAAGCCTTACCATCCCTCTGAGCTTCACCACAGAAGACTTTGCCACTCCAGTGGGGTCTTGGGGGCTTTGGCATGACCACACCCATGCAGACAACAGGCATTCTCTCAGGATGTTTTGAACAAAAGAGTTATAGTGTTGAAAAGACTAATATTTAATGTTTCTTATCACAAGAAGACATGGCGGCAGGAGCAGGCAGAAGCTGGTCATGCTGGGCCCATTGTCAGGAACCAGAGTAACTCAGGGCTTCCTCTGTTCCCTCCAACCTCTGCAGCACAGGGCGCCTCACTCCAGTCTCACACCTCCACCTTCACTTTGCGGTCGTGCTTTTGGGGTCAGGTGTGAGAAGTCACTTCTGAGACCAGCAGTCCTGATCTTTGGAGAGCTGATAAAATTCTGGGCCTGGAACGGTTCACTGGTGTGCTGGTTAGCTATTTTGTTGTTGTTTGGGTTTTTTGTTATTGTTTGGGGTGGGTTTTTTTGTTTGTTTGGTTTGGTTTTGGTTGGTTGGTTTTGGAGTTTTAGTTTGGTTTGGTTTGGTCACCTTCACACAAGCTAGGGGCATCTGGAAAGGAGCCTCAACTGAGAAAATACCTTCCTTAGACTGGCCTGTGGGCAGGTTGGTGGGAGGTTTCCCTGACCTATTGGCACAGGACCAGCCAGCGAGCTGTGGGCAGTGCCACACCTGGGCAGACAGCGTGAGTTGTTGAAGATAAGAAAGCAGGGTGAGCCAGCCAGGGAGAGCTGGCTACTAAGCACTTTCCCATGGCTTCTGCTTCAGTCCCTGCCTCCAGGCTCCTGCTTGAAGCTCCTGTCCACTTCTCGCAGAGACGGAGTATGATGCCAGAGTGCTAAGATGTGCTAAGCTCTGCCCGCCCATGTTGCTTTGCCATGGTAGCCATCACAGCCACAGACACCCTAACTAAGACAAGTGGTAAGTTCTATCAAGTACACAATAAAGTAATTATGTGAATTCCACAAAAAACTCCCCCAGCAAATAATGAGGCTCCATTTTATGAGGTTAGCATTACTGGAACACCAAAACCAGTGCAAGTGAGAGCCCTTGCTATTTGACGAGAAAGATTAAGAGAAGAGCCCCGGAGTCTGGAGAGCTGGCCAGTGGTTAGCATCACTGCTCTGGCAGAAGACTTGAATTCAGTTCCCAGCGTGATGGGCAGCTCAGTAAAGCCTGTAACTCTAGCTCCAGGGAAATACGAAGCTTCGTCCCTTCTTGGGCATTCGCAGACCCACACACAGAAACACTTATACACAAATTAAAAATAAAGAAGATAAAAAATAGCCGCAACCTGGAAGAAAATACTTCCAAATGATAAAGAACTATCCAATAAATGAAAGAATTCATTTAAAAAAAATCAAAATTAAGGGGAAATTTGAATATGCAGATTTGAAAGTTTCCTTGATAGAGAAGATAAATAAGTAGCAAGTTTTCAATATGATTGCTCATTAGGGGAACACAAATTAAAGGCCAGTGAGGGCCAATGAGATGGCTCAGCAGGGAAAGGGCACCCACCAATTCTGACAACCTGAGCTCCAATCCAGGACCCCCCTCAGTAGACCTAACTCCCAAAGTTGTCTGTCTCCTTACCTCTCCACAAGTCACATGGCATGTCACATGAATGCACACACACACACACACACACACACACACACACACACAAACACTAAATGAATGTTTAAAAAAGGACCAAAGACATATCACTCATCAATTGTTACAATTTAACTAGACAATTGAGGATGTGAATTAACTAGAACATTTCATGCTGCTTGGGAAGTTACATGATTACAATTACTCTGCAATATTAATCTCTTATATTTAGATTAAACAGGTAGGCTGGAGAAACAAAATAATAAAATAAAATTTCTTTAATATAAAAACAATTAAACATATATTTAGCATATAATCCAGACTTGCACTATGTGGTATTTCTCCTAAAGGCATGGAGGTCTATGTCCACATAAAGACATCTCCAGGAAAGTTCAGTCATTTCTATAAGGGGTAGTCAAAAACAGGAAACAACTCAAGAGCCCATCAGAGGACAAAAGGAAAAGCAAAATGGAGAGTGTCCACAAATCCGAAACTATTCAGGAATAAAAGGAACAGAATGATTCTCAAAATGATACATGGTGAAAGAAGACATAAAGAAAGAATGTAATACATGATTCATTCCACATATAAAAACTCTAAAGCACCAACAAAAATGTGCTGAGAGGACACAGATGAGTGGTTCTGAGGGTGAGGAAGGGCAAGGGGGGAAGGGCAGTAATAAAAACTTTTGGGTGTGATTGCTGTTTTTATGGTCCTTATTACTGTGATCATTTCAGAGATAGATACAGAAGACAAAACTTCCCGAATTCTAAACTTTAAATAAATGGTGCTTTAAAAATTATAGCTCAGGGGCAAGAGAAACGGAGGAGCTCTTGCAGAGGAACTAAGTTCAGCTCCCAATACCCTGTTAGCTAGTTCACCACCATGTGCAACTCCAGCTCCGGGGGCTCTGGGGCCCTCTTCCGGACTGCCTGGCTCACACATGCATGTGTACACATATATGCATGCACACACACACACCACATACACACACATGCACACACACAGTACACAAATACCACATATACATGCACACATGCATTCACACACACATGCATATGTGCACATATACAGTTCACACATACCACACACACACACACACAAATATGCACAGATGCATACATGTAAGCACACAAAAAAATAAAATACATTTTAAATTTCAGCTCAGCACAGCACTCGCAGAGCATGCGTAAGGCCTTGGGTTCATTGCATGAGACCAGAAGGAAGAAAAATCAACAAGGTAAAGTTATAGTTTCTGGTGAGCCGACCTAAAGGAAAATAACTAACTGGTCCTTTGCTTGACAGCACTCAGGAGGCCAGCAGTGCTACAGCAGTCCATAGCAAGGTAAGGCCGGGGAGTGAGAAGCCTCCTTTGGAACACCGTAGCTAGGCTGAGACCAGAAGGCTCCCAGTAATTACCCAAGCCAAGACGGCACAGGAAAGAGCACTGAGCAAGGAGGGCTGAGTAAAAGAGCCTGAGGCCAAAAGGAATTCTCCAGAAACTTACAAACAAGCGCTGGGGTAAACCTATTTTATTTAAGAAGCCAAGTAATGGAAATAAACAGAAGGAAACCTGCTTCATGAATTTAGACTGAACAGTCCATTTAGATTGTCTTAAATTCCTACAATGTGACTGCATATCTTAATGATATAAATTATCTCTTATAATTTTACTTAAAAGATGAAGACATACAGAGAACATTCAGCTTTACACATTACTCAAAGGTTGCCTATAATTAACAATAAAGAGTCCATATAAATATATCATTTAAAGAATACCTTAAGCCTGGCATGGTGGCACACACCTTTAATTCTGCAAGACACATACAGGAGGATCTCTGTAAGTTCCAGGCCAGCCTGGTCTATATAGTGAGCTCCAGGGGTGTGTAGAGAGATCCTATCTCAAAAAAAAAAAAAAAAAGGAACTTAGAAAAAAATAATGACGAGTTCTAATCCTGCCTCTTTGGTTGATGGAAAACATCCTATTATCCTACTTCCGGACAGTGTATGTTCATTTTATAGTTAATAAAATTATAATTCTATTATAAATATGTGACATTCAGAATCCAAATTTGACTACGCTGAAGATCTAAAAATTACATATAGAATAAAGATTAATTATGTTTTAAAAACCAGTACATAAGTACGTATAGTTCTATATTTACAAATAATTCACATGTAGTAAGATCTTCCGACCTCAGACCTACAGACGCTAGAGTGGTAAGGTCCAAGGCTACAGTAGCAAAACTGTCTAACTGTCTACAAAACTGTTAACCAGCGTCTAATAAAATGTCATTCATCATCTGTACAGGCAGAGTCTACCTGGACGTTCTGCAGCCGAAGGTCACACGACGCTGGTGAAATGAGCTTCAGCGAGGGTCTGACACTGGCATGGGGGCTTCGGGGCCTCACTTTAAACCTTTAGTCTCGAGTTAGCGAAAATGAGGGAGGGTTATTTTTGTTTACAATTGTCGGAATGTCTTATAATTGTGAATGTTTTATTCTTCTCAAGTGGAAGCAAACAACAGAATTAGAACGGATGCCAAGAGGTCTCAGGTGTGGCTTCTTAGGCCACGTTGGCATCTGCGTTTCTTCCCTCAGGGCCCAATATTCAAATCTAAAAGGGCGTTGGAAGAACACTTCGTTCCCTAGCTGAAACACCTAACACAGAGAAAGCCTAAGGTAACATACCTTAATTTTGACAGCCGCTTACCAAGATTAATCGACCACTTCTCATGACTATGGTGAGGCTGCCATCATTCTGTAAAGACTTCTGTGACAATTGCTGAAAGGAGACTGCCAAGTGCAGGTCTCTTCCAGTGTTCTTACTTCAAATGCTGGAAAACACATCTTCAAATACACCTTTCACAGCTCACAATGTGCTTTACCAAGAGAAATTCTTTTTTTTTCTAAATGGCTGTATTCTCTAACATTAAATACACCTTCTTTGCCCCGAAGACTTTGCATGAGAAAACACAGATCTGTACTGATGTTCGCCCTGATGACTTTCATTTCATAGAGAAGTGGAGTGGCACGCATCAAGAGTCGAGGAATGGCAGCTCCCCCAGGATGTACCCTGAGTACTAAGTTCACACACCTCGCTGCATCCACACTAACACACTAACGTCCACCTGCCCATGGACATCTCTCGGTGGTGTTGGTCTACTTTGAACTTTCTCTGTGTGGCTTCTCTTCCTAAGTGGGACAGCGCCTGCGGGCAGTCAGAGACTGCTGACCTAGCTGTTCCCCAGTATCCCTGCTATATAGGCAGCACTGGATTCATCAGCTCAGAACCGCAACCCTGTATCCTCCATAGATAAATGGAGCAGATTCGCCACCACTAAAGCCAAGACCCACTAGTTACACGTGGACGAAATGATCTCCGGATTCTGGAGAAGGTTGCTCCCAGCATATATATTCAAGATGCTCTGTGAACAGGTAAAGGGCTGGCCGGTACTACCACGGCCAAAGGGGATAGGCTACTGTGAGGCACAATTTATCTCTTCTCATTAGAAAACATCTTAAACTTTTAATTGTTACCTCTCTCAAATTATTTTAAATTCATTTCTGAAACTTAATCCTGGAAACATTTACTGCTCCAAACAAATTTCACCTAAGATTTCCCTCTAAAACAACAAACTAAATAGTTAAATCCACTTAAAATTTGAAAGTGTCATTTAAAAACAAACATTTCTTTTTCATTGAATAAGGGGCATTGTTCTTGCCAGCAACAGTAAAAATGCGGCAAAGAGAATAAACAAAATCGTGCTGCAATTAAACCTCCAAGCAAACTCTCCTGAAATATAGTCCTAATGAGAGCCGTAATCTTGCCTCTGCCTCAAAGCCAGAGATACTGCACCTAGACTCTGCTACCATCTTCACAGCAGATACAAGCCATCGGCATGCTACAATTTCACAGCCAGTCAGCCAGCAAACTTCACCTTAAGCGTCCAGGGCAAGCTTCCTAGTGACTGCTTTTACCTGCGGGCCCTCAGAGGACGGCGCTTCTGGGCCCTCCCCAGCCACCCACTTCTTTTTATAGCGGGCGGAAATCTAAAATCAGCCAATAATAGGGAGAAGTGCCTTTACCCTGGAGATGCACACTCCTTGCCATCTTCAGCAGGAAAGCCAAACCGACGTCCCCAGACAACCCCAAAACTGTCCTAACAAACACCGCTAAAAGCGCATGTTCTGGGGGGCAGCGGGTTTGGAATCGCGCCCCGGCAGTTTCTGTGCAGCCTTGTTAACTTCCCTTCGCTGCCCGGGTTTCTCTCTTTCTGAGTAGGAGGCACAGAGCTCCAGATCAGCTCCAGACTTGGGGACTGAACGAGAGGACAGACCGCTTCCGACGAGGTAGGGAAGGTAGCACGCCCCGGTTAACCCTTTGACAACCCCATGACGCCTGAAATGTGCAGCGTGCTCTGGGACTCTGCGGCTGGCACAGCGAAGGCGCTGGGCCACTAGGCTAACCTTGACACCTCCGACTTCCCAGTGTTCGTGGCCGAGCTATTCCCTCCTCTGAGAGACTCAGTTACTGTCCTGATCGGTGGAGTTTAGCTGGGAGGCTGCCTTCGGCGCGGAGGATAGCTCGCCGCGAGGACGTGCGGAAAGCAGCGAGCCAGCCCGGGCTGGGCGCCGGCTGCGGGTCCCCGGGACACCCCGAGGGCGGCGCGGGGCGGGGCAGGGCTGGGGCCGGGGTCCCGCGGGGGCACTTACTTGAACCTGCCCTGGCAGTGCTGGCACTGGTCCCCGACCCAGCCCGGGTCGCACAGGCAGGTGGAGTTGACACAGCGACCCGAAAAGCAGGAGCCGGTCCTCTCGCAGGGCTTGGACTGGGACACCTGGGCGTAGAGCGCCAGGTAGAGGAAGCCGTAGCTCAGCAGCCAGCGGTGGGCGGCCAGCGGCGGCCAGGAGGAGGCGCCCCCGCCGCGCGCCGCCCGAGCCCCGCACGGCACCGGGGCGGCCGGCCAACGAGCCCCCGCGCGGGCCCGCGCTCCCGGCTC